CCAGATCAAAGTATGGACATCCTTAGCCTCAATCATGACGCCATCTGTATTGTCCATTAGTGGGAGCTGTAACCCAAATAATGACTATATGATTTAATGTATGTATCATTCAGTTGCCATGCACTTGGGGCAGTTGGCGGTTTCTTCCTTCCCCCAAAGTCTGAGGTTTGATGGAGTTGAGGCCAGGTCAGGGAAAGCTCTTAATAGGAAATCGAGCCCCCCTTGGTCCATGGACCAAAGGTCATTCCATTTCAAGAAGTGCTGAAGTGAGGGTTCTCAGGTAATGTCAGGTAATGTAATGTCAGGTAATTCCCAGGTAATGTAAATCTGGAAAGGCCACTGAAATCGGGGAGTAATGTCATAACACCCCAATATATGACTTGAGTCAATGGCTCTAAGCCACTTGTCCAGGTTCCTTGACACTTCAGCTGTTTTGTTCAAACCACACATAGTTCTTCTCTAGACATTTGTTTCTTTATCTTGCCCTGTTGGTATTTGCTTGCCATTTATTTTGAACTGCATTGGAGAAAGCTTGCCATCAACCAAAACCATGCTTCTTGACCTGGTTGGTTTTTAATTTCATGCAAGTCCAGTTTGCCATTCTTTCCATACCTAATAGAACTCATCTTGTATCCACTACTGAACTGGTCATAACTGTGATGTCATCCATGCAAGCTCTGTATGGTAAGTGTTTTGCACCTTCATTTGCTTTTGAAACCTTACACTGCATCATCCCTGCCTCGAGCAGTAAGTTCATTGATGTTACGAAGAGAACTACTGATACAGTGCAGTCTGCCACTATGCCTTTCTCTGAACTCTTCTAATTAGTGGTATTGTTGCCAAATATATTGTGCAACTTCAAGGAGTTTGTGTGTCCCATTGTCAGATTGACTACATCTGTTGGTTTTGGTACGTGAAAGTTAACTTGTACCTCTAGTATCAGTTGGTGAGGGACACTAGGTAGACCTTAGGTCCAGCCAAACTACTTATTCTCTTTCTTGGCTTCCTTCACAAGTTGGCTTATTGCTGCTATATGCACCCTTGATGTCTTGGGATACCACTTTTTTCTGAATGCTTGGCAGGCCAGTAGGAAATAACTGCGAGACTTGACCACAATGGCCCAGGAGATCTTTCCCTCAGCATCCGATAATGATGCTACTTGAAGTGGTTCAGTCCCTCAATTTTTAGCTCCTTTGGAATGAAGCACCTTTCCGCCAAAGCCCAAGTCCTTGCTCGATTTTTCTTGTTCTGGATGCTTGTTAGCAATCACCATAGATGTATTAAGACTGGTCAAATGGTTTTGATGATAAATCTGGTGAGATGTCAATTGGGAAATTACTCAATGGCATATTTCGATCTGGGTCAGTGTGTGCTGCCAAAGTAAATGCTTCTGCTTGATCCTGCGTTTATGCCATACAAGCACTCTTTGGTTCCCTAACAAGTTTGATGTGAGCCTATAGAGATTTTCAAAGAATGTCTTCTTGGTCCTACGCTTCTCTTTAGATTTTCTCTAAGATAATCTCTAAGTAATCTCTTAAGAAGCATCTGTTGGAGCTCTCTGATCTTTTTCACTTGCCTGTGTTGAAGCCGTCCACGAACACTGTGGGCTTCATCTCTCCTTCCGAAGAGAAGCTTTTGTCTTCTACTTGGCCCAACACAATGGTGTTTCACAGATGTTCACTGTCCTCGCATCTGGGATGGAAATCGTTCTAACTTGGACAAGAGGTAGCATAGTGAAGAGGCTGGGCTCTGCATCCCACTTCTATTGGGTGCATAACTGCATACCACCCTCTTGTCTTAGCCTCATCAAATAGGTCTTGGATTTTTAAGCTGATCAGATATTTTAATCAGTCAACTCTTCTGAAGGTACCATGAGCTCATTGAAGATGTTGGACCTCTGTGTTTTGACATCAGCACTGAGCTTCTGTAAGAAGTCAGTTGAGAGTCCAGTCGGATGTCTTGGATAAAACATTGAACTGAGGTAGAGGCTTAATACATATTGAGTTAATTATATAGCTTTAACAACTAAATACTGTGGGTACCCATTTCAGTCCATTGCCTATCCTAAAATGATATGGGGATATGTGGTCATTCGTATCTGTATAGTACTTAGTCCAAAAGCGATACAGATTATATAACTTTGGCTGAAATTTAAATGTCTGCCAAACAGACCAACAAGAATTTCTGAACAAGCTAGGAATAAGGAACATCACTGGGCTACTTTCTAAAAGTCAGAAGCTATATTTTGCACCCGAGGGATTCACTCTATATAAACCTTGACAGGGGGTTCCTCTTTTAACATTTGGTATGGCAATGGATCCAAATTTTAGGATCTGGAATGAGAATGCCCCCATTTAATTATGACTTATGAGGTATGGCAATGGTCGGATTTTTCTACTTTGTGGTACAAGAATGGTCATGGAGAATATGTTACCTCTCACTTAAGGTATGGGATTGGTCTAGTTTTTACAAATGTCCTTAATTTGAGGTTGTTTTCATTTTCATAAAAGTTCTGCTTCTTCCAGGGGCTTTAGACATTTTGCATTCCAATGGTCTTATATTTTGGGGATATTTGGTATGGCATTAGTCCTATATTTGGACATTTGATATAGCATTGGTCTTATATTTGGATATTTGGTATGGCTTTTGGGCGTTATTTTGGTTGGTATGTGAACACATTGAAATTTGACAGATTGGTATGGGAACATAATGATATCTTAGGGCTCAGCCTAGGACAACAACAGAATTGTGTATTCAGTGAACCCCTTGGTATTTTACAGATGATACATCGACTATATAATAACATTACGGATTTTCACGCCCCTTTTCAGAACAATAATCATTTGAAAGACCATACCTTGATTTCTGTTAATGTTTTTCTTTCAATGCAAATATGTTCAAGCTTTCAATTGCAAATATGTTCACAATGAATGTATACATTTATATCTTTTATGTTCATGAGAGACCATGCAAGACTGGTCACTCAGAGGAAAATGCAATATGTATTTCCGTTGAAAAGGGGCAAAAATAATGATTGATGATGTCATATTTCATGCAAATATGGTGATTTACATAATTATTGTATCTTATAATGTGGGATATTGTGATACCTTCAGTTTGGTACCACTTACAGCTTTCAACTCTCAAAACTGTGGAAGTTATTGTACTTTGAAATGATTAACATCAATTCTTTCACAAGAAGTGCCACGCCCCTTTTCAGTAACATAATCATGTGTCTGACAATGTTTTTCCAAAACTTTCGATTGCAAATATGTTCAATATCAATGTACCTATATATTTAATATCATTAATGTTTATGAATGGCTAAGACTGATCACTCAGGCAGAAAGTTATAATGCGATACCATTGTAAAGAGGCAAGAATTATGATTGATGATGTCACATTTTATGCAAATGAGACAATTTGCATAATTATTGCATCTGATAATATAGGATACTATAATAGCTTCATTTCGGTTCCACTTACAGCTTTCAATTCTCAAAACGGTGGAAGTTATTATACTTTGAGATGATTAACACCAACTCTTTCAAAAATTCAAGATGGCCGACAAGATGGCCGCCAATGGATACCATGGGACAATATTTCATTCTGGGAACATGCAAAAATCTTTAGTATGGACCTTTAGGATTACAAAAATGTACATTAAAAAAATACATCTTTCGGGTGCATGGGAACCATACCTTCCTACTAGACTAATAACAAGAATCCTATTTAGCAAAGGATAATAAAGCAAATTATTGTCATAGCAACTGAGAAACATATTTGAAAATAGTCCTATTATGTCATTATCATGTTTTCATTAAAATGAAAAACAACATATTATTTCATAGTAACTGATATATATATATATATTTTCTTGTTGTTATGTTATAAATATGTTTTTTTAAATAAAACAAATCTCAGAAGATATTTTTATGTATACATACAGTAATAACACAGGAAGTATTTTTCATACAATGCAAAATGTTGGCCTAATCTCTTTTAAATCGCTTTACATTTTGTCTATAATTTAGGTGTTCATTACATGTACATATCTGTCACTATAGTATATTCATTATTCATTCCCGGTTATTGATTTCACCTTATCCGCCTTATATGAAAAAATTTGACAAAATCAAATAAACATATACACTGTATCTGATTGAACTGAGCTGACCTCATAAGCCATTTCTCATAACTTTGTGATTTTTTTTTTATTTATAAAAATTGTATTTGTCCCAACACAACTGTGCATTTGATTATATGAAAACATATGGCATGCATAATTTAATATCAGTGGCTTCTGAAATAGCATGGAATCTTATATAATTATTATCTGGTACAAGACAAAAATTTTACAAAATCTTGGCTATTTTTAGTGTTATCTGGTTCCATAAATATGACTTACAAAATTTGGGCTAATTTTATTTGATTTTTGTCACACTTTATCATCTTTTTTCCGTATCGATGGTCTACTCACTTCGTATCGGGTGTACTACTCGCTTCGTATAGGGTGTAATGCACCTTAAGCATGAATATTTCAAAATATGATAAATATATCTTATAAAAATAGTAGCATGTGTAATAATCTTTTAAAGTGCAGGGTTCAATATGTGGGGATTTGGATAGAAGTAAACAACTAACAGACAGAGACAGCCTACTCTTGTAAATGATTTCACAGATCAAATATTTTGGCAGACAACAAAAAGATCAATTGAAGAAATTGAATTTGAATAGTATTCACAAGATTGGAAACTGATGAAATATGAAAAACATTAAATGTTTTGGGAATTGAATTTTTAGAAATGTCTAGAGTTCATCGGTTTTTGTAAGGGAACTGATTGTTTATGTCTTTTTGCAATGCATAAATGAACTTTTATAGGCCTTGCCCTTGGTTCCTTTCAGAGCTGGATATGTTTTCATTCATGCTGTTTACATGTGATTCTGATGACCAGTTTTATTTAATTTGAATGACCTTATAGCATTAAATTATTTTATAGTCACGTTTGTCCCAGTAGTTTGCTGTCATAAACTAATGCAGTCAATGATATGAACAAGTGTGATTAAGTTCAAAATTAATATTGAACCATGGGACGAACCGAAAGGACCCAAAGACTCCGGGTCGTCCAAAGTAGACAAGACATAACACCACCGAGGAAGAGGATCGTGATAAATAATCTACAAAATCTATTTCAAAGTACGAGTACAAATAACAGTTGCTATAGTAATACAAATGGTTGCCATAGCAACATGCAGGGGAGCGGGAACTCTAATAAACTCAGGACTATCTTTATCGTTAAATGCCCCACCTCAAAAAATAAAAACACTTGTAAAAGCGTTGATATCTCATCAACGATGACAACAGCCACTGCCACGGTAACCTCAAGTTCACATGAACACGTAACAACCAATCCAGCTGCAGATAGTAATAAAGAAATCAGTTATACAAGGAAGAGAAAAGCTAACAGTCAAGGTTCAAGTCAACCTTATAAACGGACACTAACAGACTCGGCAAAAACACAAGATCACCAATTTGTTCAAAATAAGGAAGCAATATTGGAGATAATGCCAAATAAAATCCAACGTTTGAATCCAGGAAATCAGGGGGCGGAGGCGGATAATGTCCATAAAATGCCAAAAAGTGGTTTTGCTAGCGATTTGAAAAATGAGAAAGAAATATGGGAGATGAAGAACCAGAAAAGGTAATATTTTTTTTGCCAGCCTCGTGGTCTTCAGTTTGAATTTGGATTTGTCTTGAGTTGAATATTTTATTTATTTAATTGATATGTGCATGCATGACCTTTACACATTAACAACACTTTTGTTTTGTTTTGCCTACTCAAGACTTCATGTTAACACTTAGGCCAGCACTTGATTCAAAGATACTTTTATCTTTAGGAGATGATGTTTTCAGTTTAAATTGCAGATAAGTGGCGTCTGGCATGGCTTCCATTTTAAAATCTCAATTTAAGCTAGGGGCCACTCAGGCCCATTGCCAGCTTTGCAAAGGGGGTGAAGTCTTTGTAAAATTCCAGGGGGCTCAGATTTAACAATTTCTGCCTGAAATCACTTTAAAATTGCTCAGAATTGTGAAAAACTGCATGATTATGAAGTAACCTTTGGCTATGGGGAGGGGGTTGCTAAGTTGCTTGACCCTCCCTGGCTATGGGCATGGCACTGCACCTTTACCCAAAAGTGCATATTAGATATTGTCTTTATAAAAGGGAAATATTCATGGGACAAATAGTTTTTACCCTACATCAGTTTGATATTTCAGCTCTACATACCCCCACCCCACAAATAATCAGTTTTGAGAGAAAATATTGTGTGCATTAGAATAATGCAGTAATGAGATAGCAGTAAACTTTTCATGTAAACTAACATTTGTATGTACATGTACATAATTATCATGATTTATGACAAGGCTTGGGTATCATAAGTTGTTTTTCTACTGTTTTATATAAACCCATCTGGAAAAAGTCATAGATCATGTATATTCCATGGTTTTCTTCGTAAAATTTGAATTAATTGCATGATTTGTGGCATTTATAGACAATTTAAAGTGTTAATGTCATGCTTGTTAACTTTATTCCTTGCTAATTCCAATCTTTTACTCTTTATTTCATATTGTAATCAAAGCATGACAATTATGTTATTTTTCTTGAGGGTAGAATCCTTGACTTTCTATGCCTATTATTGGCTGCATGAATTTCAAGATAGTGTTAATTTCCCTTACATAATGTTACTTTCTATGCATAATGTTACTTTCTCCTGCAATTTAGTGTTACTTTCTTCTGCATAATATAACTTACACCTGCATAATGTTACTTTCACGATCATAAATCAGCAGTTTGTTTGCATTGCAGCAATGCCATGAATTATTGCTGTAAGAGTGTTTTCTTGACATTGGCCTCAGTTCCTTTATAACCCTGAAGAAAAATGTCACTATTTCAATTTTGCCACCAAAAGTGGTGAGATATTGCTATATGGTCTCCATTTTTGGTGAAGGCGTCTGACATTTCAGCATTAGGTATCTGTAACAAATGGCAGGTGGTGACATTGTGCATGTTAATGTCTTGTTTTTTTAAATACATTTTAATTCATGGGGATGGATTTCTGTTACAGAGATAATTAAAGGAAATGGGTATAGTCTTACATCAAGCCCATGATCCTCCAAGTCCCCCCCCCCCCCCTCCCATTCATCCTCTATTATAGATTGGGAAATAGATGCGGAGGGGAAGGTCCATGGGGAATGAGGGCAACATAGACTTGGCGCTAGACTGGGGACTGCTAGGTCAAAAAACTGTTTTTTTTACCTCAAAGGTTGCCAATCGTCTCTTGTTGGAAAAGCCTCATTGCCGTGTTTATAATAATTTACTCGGATGTTCTAATAGCAATTAAACTATTGGATTGTGAAAAAGCCTGATAATATTGATATATATGAGGCCATGGTGACTTTATACTGTTGGATACCAATATATATTACAAACATAAGGTCACCCTGTCTTGTTTTTTAAATGTTCATTTTCATTTTTATAATTACTGGGTGACACAAAAAACTGCAATCTTCTAATTTTGGGATCACTTTCCATGTTATGATAGTATCTCCATGATATTTTATATGTAAATAGAGTGTTCAGGGTTAGAAACATTGGTTCACTTGTATAGTATCGATGACTTTGGAATTAGACATTTTTCGTCCTTCTGCCATATTTGTCAAAAAATGCAAGTTGGATAATGCAGGTTGGTGGTGAAATATTGTTATTCAGTCTCCAACTATTTTGTGGATGTTGTTTGGCAGTTGGTGTTTGGCAGTTATTGTTTGACAGTTATTGTTTGACAGTTGGTGTTTGGCATTTTGGCATCAATAGCAAATGGCAGGTGGAGACATTTCGCATGTTAATGCCTTATGTTAACATTTCCCTCAAAAGCATGTCAATTTATAACATTTCCCTCATAAGCATGTCAATTTATAACATTTCCCTCATAAGCATGTCAATTTATAACATTTCCCTCATAAGCATGTCAATTTATAATTTCCAACGTTATGCCATTAATATGGATAGATTGGATGATGAAAAGCAAGCGAGACGTGACACGAATAATGACCATAATTGGATGTAGTGTATCTTGTTTCCAGGTACTTGGATGCAATTAAATATTGTAGTCAGTGCCAGTTTGGTTAAGTAGTGTTGTACCTTCCATACTGGACTATTACCCTCTTGCATGCTAGAATATTTTCCTTTTTTTGCTAACGTTTGATGTCCATAATGAACATAGAAAATTACCTACATTTAATTCATATTTTGTGTAAATGTGACAAAATTTTGAGTTTGAGCCATTTAAGTGAGAATTTCTGTGACTGATATATCTGTCGCTTTGGTAATTCAAAGGGTTAATATATCATCACTCTTTGTATTTAAAGGGTTAATAAAAACAAAAACAAAACTTGAAATTACAGCATGATTTATAGACTAGGTCAGGTCATATTACCATTTTTGACCTCCATGACTCAGCAATTATTTGTTTGTCCCATGTTTCACATATCTTGTTTCACAATAAAAAAACATTGCAAAATATCTGGTTGGATTGCAACATCGCTGGTATCATGAAAAATTAAATTGCTATATGTATACTGCTATACACATTCATACTGGCCATTAAGTTGTCGTATATGAGTACTAAATGTTGCACTTATTTGCATAGTATTTTGATATTCCTATTATTGATATTAGATGTCTATTACATATTTGGTTGTTATTTGATTTTTTTAAATTGCCCCAACTCTATTTCTTTTTGTGGACAGTATTTGGCACTTTTGGTTGCTGTTTGGCAGATGGTGTTTGGTATTTGGCATCCGTAACATATGGCAGGTGTGAACATTTTGCATGTTTGACTTGTTTTTAATTCTTTGTTATTCTACTTCCTGGTTATTCAAATTATACTTATTTGGTTATTCTAATTCTATGTTACTTGAATTCGTAATCTACATTTAATATATTTTCATCTATTTACAGACTGGCAGAAGCCAAGAGGGCCGCTAAGGGCCGTAGGGACCTGGAGGTTGATGCTTTTAAAACACTCTGCCATGCTCTCCCATATTCAAATGAATCGTTGTCCAAACTTGATAAATCATCCCTGCTGCGATTGACTGCTAACTACATCACCATGAAGCAGATTGTCCAATCAGGTTAGTGTTAACATTTCAAGTTTGTGTTAACATTTCATGTTATTGTTAGCATTTCATTTGGCGTATCTCAATTTATGATTTTTCCTTATAAGGACATTGGTGCGTCAACTTTTTTCTGGAATTAACATTAGAATACTCATTGTGTCAGAAAATGAATAGAGCGGGAGTTGCTTCAATATTCCCTTACTTTTTTATTATGACATTAGAGTTATCCGCCAGGGAAAGATGTGTCTAGTACTCGCCCAATATTGGCTATAAACTCGTTTGGTGCAAAAATTGGTGATATTTTAAATATATGCATAAAATGAAAAAGGGCCATAAAGCATGATAAACGTCAAGGAGATACAAACCAATTCAAACCAGATTTTTCTGGCTGCATAATACTCGGAATATAATGCAAATTCAGTGTTTATTACCCCATTTAAATATATAGATGACACTGGTGGATCTGGGGGGGGGGGGGGCTGGGGGAAGTTTTTTCTCTGACCTGAAATTTGCCCCCCCCCCCCCTTGTTGGTTCCCAGATCCGCCCCTGGATGAAATACACATTTCTGTATAAGTTAAAATATGGCAAGCTGTTTTTTCACTTGGGAGTGAATCTTCAACGAATGAAGAAAATTAATATGAGCTTTCCACGCAATCTTTAAAAACTGAGCAAATTACACAAGAACATTTGATAAATATTCATGAATATGTTGAAATTGGTTGAGTAAGGTCACATTAAGATTTATGAGAGCGCCTTGACAATGAACTAGGAATTAACATACCAGCTTTATTACAAATATTTTACGCTCTGCTGCCATTAATTTAATGCATTTTTTCCTGTTCTATAATAAAACAAATTTCAAGATAACTCAATACATATGCAAGACCCGGGTCATGATCTAAAGTTTACTTAACTGCAGTGAATAGAGCAATAGGTTGCTGAAATTTGTTTGCATCCTGTCAAAATGATAAAATATTGAGACATTTTGAGCAAATACGTAAAATTGGGAGTTTACACCCTGTTTAGAAAAAAACCTAAGGGGACCAATGAATTAACATACCAGGGAGGGGTAGAGATAAAACTAGGATATGAAGATGAAAATGTATTTGATGAGTGGCTGTTCAAGCTTCTTACAAAGGAACATGTTTTTATTGCTAGAAGTATTTAACAATTTATGTGACCTTGCCAATGGCAAACAACTTCATGGAAAAGTAATCAAAGTTGGACTAAAATAAAATAAATCAAAAACCTTGGTAGAGCAGACACTACACATACAAAGGCATAAACTTTTTAATCTGAATAGAGTAGCTGGAACTCCCTCAGCCACTACCATCTACATTACCCCCCCCCCTCTTAAGGTTTCATACCTTAAACCTTATTGATCAAACCAAACATGTCCTTTTATTAATGACCCTTTACAAAACATACATAAGGGTTATGTACTGGGAGGTTTTAGATACAGGGTTTATCCCAAGGAAAATATGTGTATCTCTCGAGGGACCAAAACTGACTGTCAGTGTCAGATTCTTTCCCTAATATTGTACCTCATATCACTTTCCAATCATCTGCTTTATTTGTCACAATGGTAAATTCTGTTCATGTCTTATCAGATTGCATTTTTTACAAATATTTAAAAACATATTGTATCCTACTTTATGCCGATTGTTCTTGGATAATGTGGCTAAATCCTTGCACAATGCCAGGTTAGGAGGTTAAGGTCAATTATCAGAACAGGAACATTTTGTTTATATTCAATTGTACTTGTATGTAACCAGATATTGTCATAAACAACTCCAGGGCATTAGAGCAACTGGGTACTTTATCCTACTGATATGTCTATGTTTGAATAACCTTTATAACCTGCTTTTAAGTACTTGCCAAAAACAACAGGATACATTTACTCTCACATTCTATTGTTATATACACTGTACATGTACTTTCAGTTTTTGAATTTTTACCAACTCAATAACAGTAAAGCAATGGACAGACAAAAATTGTCCATAATTTTTTTTCAATATTATACCGTCTTATGATTAATTTTGCAAACACAATTATTGATGACGAAAGTTAGATGCTTGGGGGTTGTGTCAAACTGTTTTTTGTGGGGTCAATCCATCCCTAGCTTAAAAAGGCAATCTGTGTAATTCTGATCAAAATTGCACCATCAAAAGACATTATTTCTTGGAAATATCAGATTGAAAAATTTGCCCGCCTTGTAAACAAAACACCAGGTTCAAAACTCTTACTTTCACCTGTTTCAATTCATAATATAAAGGCAACCATTGTAATTCTCTTACTACTAACATTCCAATATTTTGATTTATAAAAGTGTGTGTCATGGCATCCTTCTGTTTCACTAGACACACGACATATCTGTTTGAGACACATGACACATCAGTTTGAGACACATGACACATCAGTTTAAGACACATGACACATCAGTTTGAGACACATGACACATCAGCTTGATTTATCATGATATCATATTTACATTACCCACCAGACAATGTTTTTGCATACTTGGTGTTTCATGTTAACATCTAGGGGAATTATTTTACTCATGTTTATCTGAGTTTACCGAGGTTTTTAGTTTCTATATAGGCTAGAACACATTCTGAAGATATGATGTATGTTTTCCCTTAGCTTGTTTACAATATGATATACTTGACTTGAAAATTTGACACAGTCCCATCGAGTCGTGATTTTGCAGTCTTAGTTTTATCTTTATCATAAAACGTATCATGTTTAATCATGCTATAGTAAATAAACTCATTTTGACAGCCTTGTTGATTTCGTGTAAAACACCTTTTTATTTGAATTGGGATTATTATTTAATTTAAAGTTTTATGAATGTTTATTTTAGGACTGAATGCTCTTTTTGTAACTGAATATTTTTTCAATCGACAAATGTTACAAGAAATTATTTATGTGTCATATATCAAAGCTGAATGTATTGACTTTCGTAATTGAATTAAAGGTATTCCAATAGATATCTTGAACAGAATAGATCTATAACTTAATTTCTGCATGGATTTTACAATTTCCAGCCAATTTCTTTTAGTTAATATCTTTATCTGAATCCATGAATTTTAAAGAAAGGCTATCACTCACTTGAAAGCCCTTTTGCGCTCTCGAATGGGATAGAATCATAAAGAATTGGCATATTTGATCATTTTTTGGGCAGATTTTTTGAGCCAAAAATGTAGCTCCTATTTGAAGGAAAAATCATAGAACACTGCTCATACAGAGCGTGCATCTGAATCATTGTAGACTACTTTTTAAAAGACCTACAGATTTTTAAACTAACCAGGAAACTTACATGTAGTGTATAGCCATTTTGCACCTAGAGTACTCTTCTTGCCCAGTAGTAATCATATATTTTATACAAATGTTTTCAATCATTCATATTTTTATTTATAAAAACTACAAGCAACTCCCCTTTCAGCCTTCTGTCCAGAAATTCTGTACTCAAATACCTCTTTATATAATTTTGATATATTAAATACATTCAATAAAAATATTCTTGCTCGCAGAATTCATAAGGTCATGCACTTAAAACTGTGCATGTGCCCTTAAGGTAGTTATATACCCAGGGACCTAAAGATTAATAACTGAAAAAGTATATTTCACTTTCAGACTGTATTAAAATGTCCCTTACATCATATGTTTCATAATCCAGCAAAAAATATGTGTCACTGACTAACTTTTTTCTTAAACCTAGAAATTGTTTTTGTTTTTGCTCTTCAAAAAACCAACTTTTGATTTTCATATATTTTGTTAAATTTGTGAATGATGTATTTAAGTTTACATTGAGAAATTTTACCTTTTATTTTCAGGAACTAAAAACCTGAATGATGAAAGCCAGATGAAAGCTATTGAAAGTGGGGAGGAAGATCGGCAAAGTGCTCTGGCTATTTCAACATCCCCTGCCCCTGCATTTATAGGTAAGCTCTCACCCCTGTATTAATGCCCAGCTGGGGATCACATCTAAGAAATGAAAAAATTAAGGAATTAAAATATTGTGGAACAGATCATATATGGTTTTATGGGGTTATATTTATAATCTTTGATGATGTTTTGAATCGTTTTAGGGAAATATAAATAAAGATGTCTCTCATATAAGGTAATAGAACAATACACAGTTTGACTTAACTCACAGCCCCACAGTACTACCTCTCTCCTACCCCCCCCCCCCCCTATTACAATCAATATAAAATACCAAAAATGTTGATAAAAACCTTGAAAACCAATGTAATACATGGGCAGGAAAAAAATTTGGACCCCTAAAACCAAAAAGTGGGCCCAAATTTTGAAATTTCAAGGCCCATTTTCTCATTAAATTGGCCTAAAACTAAAAAATAAGGCCTTTAAAGGCCAAAGTAATGACCCAAAAGGCCCACTTTTTGGGGCCTTAAGGCCAATTTCCTTTTTTGCCCCCCCCCCCAGATCCGCCAGTGTAATTAGGTCACAACTTATAATAATATTCTATCCCCATTCCGAACTATACGGTATGAATCCTATTATAAAACCCCCCAATGTGAACACCTTTACTTGGACCCAAATATTATCTCTCATTGACACATGTTTGAGAAAATTGAAATGTAAACACCTGATAATACAAACACTTTTGACTGGTCCCTGTGGTGTTCAGATTAGACAGGTTTTACTTTATAGATAGTCTTTCAGATTTTGAATGTATAAACTTCACTGTTCAGTGCTCTTCCCAGGATTTCTCTCTGTGGAGGTATTTTGCTCTCTTTAATTTAAAATTTCACAATTTTGTAACTTTTTGTGCAATTTTTTAGGTTTTTGGAAGTTTTAGTGCAACATTTTAGGATTTGGGAATTTTTTATGCAACATTTTAGGATTTGGGAATTTTTTTATGCAACATTTTTATTTTCTTTTATGGAGAATTTAGGGAGAACATAAAAAAATTGGAGGAGTACGTAGAACCTGTTCATTAAAAGCCATTGAAAACTGCTTCGTATTTTTCAATCTATTCCTATATATTTCAGATGAACTAAATCAACCTGAGGGGATACGGGAAGGAGAGATGATGCTGGAGGCTCTAAATGCTTTCGTTATATTCGTCACGAAGAAAGGCAATGTTCTGTACGTCTCCCCAAATGTGAAGGAGCATATAGGATTTGAGCAGGTAAAGTTTCCTAATGAATCCTTCTGTATTCCACCAACCCTTGCTTAAGAAACAAGAGGGGAAATGCCCCATAATTCAAAGATGAATCCTAAGGTTCATTTTTATATTGAGCTTCATCTCTGAATTATGGGATCTTTCTTCCTCTTTGATAAAACAGAATTTTACGAACTGTAAAAATCTCTATTATCACTGTTCCACAACTAGTTACTCTGACGAAACGTCAATGTAACAAAATGGATGAACTTCCTGGATACAGATTTTTTGTTTTCTTGATTTAAACTTACGTATAAGTCATGTTGCGGATTATCATTTGGCACAAAGTTAGACAATATAGTCTAGCTTTTAGAAATGCTCTCGGTTTGGAAATTGATTTTTAATAAATAAAATTGTTATTTAGACCATCGCTTTTGTTACATTGTCAAAGTCGTCAAAGTAGCATACATTGGTAATATAACGGACTTCCGTCAATGTAACAAAAGCGAGGGGCTAAATATATGATTTGCAACTTCATTTACAAAACAAATTCCAAATAGAAGAAACTTATTAAAACTAGACTATATTTTCTAGCTTTGTTCCAAATTATAATCTGCAACTTGACTTATAAGTAGGTTTAAATCGGGAAAACAAAAAACTCTTAACCAGGAAGTTCATCTATTTTGTTACATTGAAGTTCCGTCAAAGTAACTCATTGTGGAACAGTGATATTGAAAAAAGTGTCCCTAAAATTATTTGTGCACTTCTTCCTAATAACCAAATCAATTTTGAATGATAAATTTTATTCTGAAATTATGTATGAATAGTTTAGATCTACAGTTATTGGTTATCACCACATTTTTGTTATTAAACTCAATGTGCTACTGAAATAAAAATAATCAATTATTCACTTATTTTTCAGATTGATTTACTCAACAAAAACATTGAAAGTTACATCCATCCAGAGGATTTTCCGCTATTCTGCAAACAATTTAACTTCCATTCTCCAATCAAAGGACCATCTATAAGTGAGATATCACAGGGAGATAATTCACCGAAAGGTACATAGTCAAATTTTTTCTCCTGTTTTCATGACACCACCAAAAAGTGGTGACATATTTTGATGGTCTCCCAATTTTTTGTGACAATGGTTGGTGTGTCCGATGATTGGTGGTTGGCGGTTGGCGTCTGTAACAATTTTTTACAACTTCCAATAACTTAACAAATACTCTTTAGACTGACTTCAATTTTTCGGAATCATCTTCACGTTCTCAGAAGTTCATATCTGACTTTGGTTTGAGATTTGACCTTCAATGCCTTTCTCAAGGTCAAAAAGGTCTTTTTTCAACTTGCTTCAAATTGACTAAAAAAAATTCAAAATCATCTACAAGTTTGCAGAAGTTCAAATCTGACTTTAGATTTGACATCTGACCTTCAATGACCTTCTCAATATCAAAAAATGTCAAAATGGTCTTTTTCAACTTGCTTCAAATTGACCAAAGGTCTCAGAAGTTCGAATCTGACTTTAAATTTGAGATTTGTCCTTCTCAAGGACAAAAAGGTATTTTTCAACTTGCTTCAAATTGACCAATTTTTTCAAAATCATCTACAAAATCTCAGAAGCTCAAATCTGGTTTAAGATTTCAGATTTGACCTTCTCAAGGTCAAAAAAGGTCAAAAAGGTCTTTTCAACAACTCAAATTCACTAATTTTTTTTTAGGTGGGACATTTTGTCAAGTTAATGCCATGTTTTCTCTTACAACTGAATGCTTTATAGAAGTCTTTTTGTTCATGATTTTAATAAAATTTTGAATATTTAGAAGGGGGATTTCAAATTGTTTTTGCATTATCGGAAAGAATATTTTAATTTTCATTTAGTTTAACTCATTGACAATTTCGTCTATGACTTCATAATCGTATGTGACCAACCTCGAGATATCTCGGGTTGCTGTCCATTAATTGTCACATAATCTGTACTAGTTATCTTACCAAATATTCTAGTGGTCACTGGGGGAACCTGGTAGGGTGCAATTGAAATATTTTGTCACTGGCTTCACAAATGGCATATAACTTAGGGCATAGGGTGTTGATACAGTCTATTTTATGCTAATGTGAAAACATGCAATTTTGCTTAATTTTCCATCAAAATTGCCAGTCACCAGCAGAAAAACTCCAAAAATAGCTTTGGCCAGCAATGAGTTAATACTTTTGATGAAAAAATTAAAAAATATCCTATACATGAAATGGATAAATTATATTGTCTTTTTGTATGAGATCTATCACATCTTTAAAGTCCCCATCTAAAGTTTTAACCACTTTGGCTTATATTGTAGTCTTACCCAATGTTATCAAAGTATGATATGTGAAACTTTTTTTTTAAATTTCAAAAAGGGTTTTTGATAGACTTTTTGTTCCAAAATTTGTGAATTTATTTAAAACTAACTTTTAGAGGTCACACATATCTTTTAATTAGCAACAACTCATACCAATGCATAGCATTCATCCTCGCATGTTTTTGCCGAAAAAATTAAGAAAATCGGTTAATAAATAAGCGAGAAATGAAGTTATCAGTGCATGAAAATGGTTCTGAGAAAAATGCATTTAAAAATTCTAGTTCTCATTGAAACCAATGGTACAATGATATCTAAAACATAATATATTCTTCCTTTTAACCTGGTTAGACAAACAACATTGGTATATTATTGAAGTCTAGCATAATTAGAAAAGATTGACGTCGAAAAAAAAATTTCAATTTTTTTCAAAAAGTTTTTGCTACCTTAGTGACATCACTAATGGTGCAAAATATTTTTGATATGCTAAAATATTGAAGTGACCCATTAAATATGGCATTTTATTATTGAAATAGTGTGTCCTTTGGTCAATCTTTGCATTAGTGTTAAAAAGATAATCTTTTTCGAAATGCATTAAGAAATATTTGATGATTAAAAAATTTCAACTTTTTTTGAAATTAAACACCTGAGAACCCAAATCCTCTTTGGAGCCAGTTTAAAAATTCAGAATAATTCCCAACCTGTATATCAAGGTTCAATGATGAAACAAGTTACACACCATTATGAATTAAAAATATTTTGTTGTAATTTAAGATAAGAGGTGCAGATAGTGGCCCTTTAGAAGTGTTATATCATAACATTAACTCCTAGTAATTGTATGCCTCTTTTTGTTGTTACAGAGCCACCCTTAGCCAGTAGTACAGGTGATGCTCTCGAGCGGCAGTTTTATATCCGCATGAAAAGCTGTTTCAGAAAGCCTGGGAACAAGACATTTCAGAAGACCTACGTGGTAAGTTATTTATGATGTGACGCCACAGTACATATCACATCAATATATCTATGGCAACAATTTATGTCTGAATTCCTCGTTCTGAAATAATATTGTCACTTTTCCCTTAACTTCCTGTTACTTTGAAAATTTTTACCTGGTCTACGCCATTTATATTTTGATATGTATTTGTAGGTCTATGTATGTTTATTTATTTTATGAAAATCGCATGTCAGTATACATTAAGATAGATGATTGCTAAACAGTGAAAACATGTATCAGAACTTTATGTGGGCAATGTGTGTATATTATAGATGGAGTTGATATCACATATTTATACTTATTTAGTGGGTAAAGTGTAAAAAATGAAAATGCCCCGATTTCAATCAATCTCTTTATCCATCTTTCCATATGAAACATTTTTCAGACAAATGAATTTACTTTTGCTTTGCGTTTCAGAAATTGACTTTTTCACCATGTGAGCTCTTCATATTAAGAGGCTTCAATTCAAGAGGCTAATTGTAATTACTCCTCTCATTTCAGTATGTACACTGGAATGGTCGGCTGAAGATGAAAAATGAGTACAAGGCTAGTGGAATATCGTGTATCTGTCGTCCCTTGCAGCCAGTCCCTCTACTTGAGGTTAGAATGGATGGGACAATGTGGATGAGTCGACACTCGATGGATATGAAAATACTCTCATGTGACGCTAAGTATGAAATGAAATATGTGATTTATGTGTGAAATATGTGATACAGAGCATGAAATATGAGATACAATGGATGAAACATGTGATATACTGTATTAAATATGTGATACGGAGCATGAAATATGAAATACAATGGATGAAACATGTAATATAATGTATTAAATATGTGATACAGAGAATGAAATATGAGATACAATGGATGATAAATGTGACATATTGTATTGAATATGTGAGTCTGAAATATATTTTCAGAGTATCAAGTTTGATGGGTTACGGAGTTGACGATCTCGTTGGGAAGTCTGTGTTCCAGTTTCACAATGTCTTCGATATGAAGAAATGTTACGAGTGCCATAAAGGATGTAAGTACTTTTTTTAGTTTAGAAGAATATCACTGTGGAGAAACTCTTCAAGCTTGTTGCCCACAAACGCTTAGATGTTCTGAAACAAACGATTTTGCCTAAAACTTGTGAAGTCATGGAAAAAGAAAAATCATACCTCCGAGGCTACGTAAATTTTCTTACGGAAATGGATCCATTTTTGACCAGTTTATAAGTTTCAACACAGTGAATATACTGTTTTTGCCAAGTTTCATTATTTTGGCTAACTTTTATATTTTTTTGCAAATTAGAAACATTGGAATCCATTTAATTTGGCACTTTGTAAAGTGTGAATGATAATTAACAAATTGAATTATCTAAAATGAATTTTAGTTTGGTATTCAAGCAGTTTACAATAAATCATATCCTTTATGATGAACACCATTGGTAATAGCATTGGTAACACATTGTTTCACTTTTGTAACCATGTGCTCAGCATCAACATTTGACATTCAGCATTCAATATCAGTAACAAATTGTTAAACTTTTGTAACCGATGTGCTCAGCATCAACATTTGACATTCAGCATTGGTAACAAACTGTTACACTTTTGTAACTGATGTGCTCAGCATCAACATTTGACATTCAGCATTGGTTACAAATTGTTACACTTTTGTAACCGATGTGCTCAGCATAAACATTTGACATTCAGCATTGGTAACAAATTGTTACACTTTTGTAACCATGTGCTCAGCATAAACATTTGACATTCAGCATTGGTTACAAATTGTTACACTTTTGTAACCGATGTGCTCAGCATAAACATTTGACATTCAGCATTGGTTACAAATTGTTACACTTTTGTAACCGATGTGCTCAGCATCAACATTTGACATTCAGCATTGGTAACAAACTGTTACACTTTTGTAACCGATGTGCTCAGCATCAACATTTGACATTCAGCATTGGTAACAAACTGTTACACTTTTGTAACTGATGTGCTCAGCATCAACATTTGACATTCAGCATCGGTAACAAATTGTTACACTTTTGTAACCGATGTGCTCAGCATCAACATTTGACATTCAGCATTGGTAACAAATTGTTACACTTTTGTAACCGATGTGCTCAGAATCAACATTTGGCACTCAGCATTGGTAACAAATTGTTACACTTTTGTAACCGATGTGCTCAGCATCAACATTTGACATTCAGCATTGGTTACAAATTGTTACACTTTTGTAACCGATGTGCTCAGCATCAACATTTGACATTCAGCATTGGTAACAAACTGTTACACTTTTGTAACCGATGTGCTCAGCATCAACATTTGACATTCAGCATTGGTAACAAACTGTTACACTTTTGTAACTGATGTGCTCAGCATCAACATTTGACATTCAGCATCGGTAACAAATTGTTACACTTTTGTAACCGATGTGCTCAGCATCAACATTTGACATTCAGCATTGGTAACAAATTGTTACACTTTTGTAACCGATGTGCTCAGCATCAACATTTGACATTCAGCATTGGTAACAAACTGTTACACTTTTGTAACTGATGTGCTCAGCATCAACATTTGACATTCAGCATTGGTAACAAATTGTTACACTTTTGTAACCGATGTGCTCAGCATCAACATTTGACATTCAGCATTGGTAACAAACTGTTACACTTTTGTAACCGATGTGCTCAGCATCAACATTTGACATTCAGCATTGGTAACAAACTGTTACACTTTTGTAACTGATGTGCTCAGCATCAACATTTGACATTCAGCATCGGTAACAAATTGTTACACTTTTGTAACCGATGTGCTCAGCATCAACATTTGACATTCAGCATTGGTAACAAATTGTTACACTTTTGCTACCATGTGCAATTGTTTTACATGTACATATTTTTTTGTTTACTAACCCCTTGTTTGTTAACCCTTTCAGTGATGGAGAAGGGAACTGGGATGAGCAAGTACTACAGATTTGCTGGACGCAACACTGACTGGGTCTGGACACAAACCAGAGCAACCCTGATCTACCAGGCCAATAACCAGCCCCAGTACATTGTCTGTATGAACCAGATTATAGGGTAAGAACACGTAAATTTTGAACCAGATATATGCAAAAGGCTGACAGTACAATTAAAGAGGTAGTGTCATTCTGTTCATACCAATAAACCCTTACACATCGATTTATGGACCAGATATGTGTAATAGACTGATAGTACAATTAAAGAGGTAGTTATTGTTCAATAGACCTTTCCAATAAACCATAACACCTTTTCATGAACCAAAGAAACAAGTAAATGGTGCATTTGCTTGGTTTATAATGTCATGCCTTACAGGTAGCAATGTCTGTGAACTAAATAAAATACATGTAGTGTCATTATTTGGTTTCAGTCTTGAAGAAGGAAATCGCTATCTTGCAGAGGAAGAAGCTACAGATCTTGAAGAAATTAAACAATTCACAAAAGGCGTCCTTGGAGCTAATGATGAAATCAAAGATGTATCCCTTAATAAGTCAGCCATAATGACGGAAACTGATGTGCACTCAAAGCGTGAAAGTACGAAACAAAATGGCCACCATAAATCCATCACTGAGGTTAAATCTCCAGTGACGTCAGATATAAATTTGGATGGCTCTCCAGATATAATTCCACTGGAGGACGTTTCAGTGCCGCTGGTGCCGCCAATCGTAAATCAGAGTATGGGCAAACTGCAAGCGCCATCTATGTTGGAGTTATTAGAAGCTGTATCTCCAACTGGCAGTTTTCATTCAGATTCAGCTTATAGTTCCCAATCACCCTCAAGTGGGGGTGGATTATCACCTCAACATAATTTTGGCCTCTTGTCGACCTCCAGCTGGGATGGATTATCGCCCAATGGTAATGGAGGTGTCTCTAGTCCCACCACCCCTCCTAATTCTTCTCAGCAGAGCCCTGATGGTGATCCCACGCTACCCCTGGACTCTCTTCAACAGGCTCTAGCTATGGACATAGGAAATAGCAATGTTACAAATATACCTGATGATATTCTTAGCTTTGCTCTAGGCTTAAATGAAGACCAATTGATTCAAGCAGCCACATTGGAAGGTCAATCTCAAAGTGATGACTTCTCACACCTTACAAATGATATGATCTCAAACAATGGCATTCTCAGTATGGAAACAAACACTGACAATTTCACTAACTTCTCAATCCAAGATTGTATGGTTAACCCTATTAATGCTGAACTTGGTAATGATGTAATCTCATCTTTGAATGGTAGGGTTAAATCAATGGCTACAAATTTTGAGCCAAATGACCATTCATACACGACACTAAGGGGCCCACAGACCCCTTCTAAACACAAAAAGTCTCAGGGTAGCTATGTTACAAGTAAAGTCAATAATTTAGGAAAGAAAAATGCCAATAATCAGAGCAAAAATGTCAATAGTCAAAATGGCAAAAATGTTCAAGGACAAAATGGCGGAAATCAGTCTAGTGAACTTATGAGCCTTTTAACGAAGCCTGACTCACCAAAGAATGCGAAAATGTCAGAATTGGAAAAATATCTCCGTAGCGAGAATCCATTGAAACTTCATGAGAAGGAACAACAGGCACCGTTGCTAAGACAACTATTAGAAGGCTCAATCACTGGCAGAGACGCTCATCAGAATCAACTCTGACATTAAAAATATTAAAATAGGACAAATTTTAAGCAAGTAGCATATATTGCTATATTGTAAATGCTTTGGGTAATTACAGCTGCTTGTATGATGTGGATATCCTCATCCTCCAAACATAGGTTTCAAGAACTCATAACTTCCAAAGAAGGGTTAGGAACCCAGTGGAGACCTGCACTTGGAGGATGGAATATTCTAGATTCTACCAAAAAATGATGGTGTCCTGAGGAATTTGTGTGCTGTAGATTAAATTTAATTTTCTCATGATATATATAATATAATGTATATCTGAAAATCTCATTTATGATATAAGTAATGCTTTGTAAATTCAAGAGCTTTAAGCCAAATCGTTATGTTTATTGTCACCACTAAAAGTGGTGACATATTGTTATAGTATCCAACTATTTTGTGAAGAGAGTTTGGAGGTTAGCATCTGTAAAAAATGGCAGGTGATGACATTTTGCATGATATTTCTTTGTTAGATCTTGATTCTGTGTTAAATACTTAATTTTAGTCCATATTATTTGTAAATGTTGTGAATTTTTTGTTGTTGATGTCATCAATGGAGACCCCCTAAATTGTAATGGAGACCCCTTGAATTGTCATTAAAACTCACAACCAAAGCAAATGATCTTGAGGCATGCTCATCCTAATATCTAGTCTACAATTTATATCTAGATTTTCTATATCACATGCCCTACGTGCAGAGTCTAGTTTTAAACTAAGACGAAGCTCTCTTTCAAGAAGGGGAGTTGAATGATATATGACTGTAAATTGATTTAATTTGATTGTAGCTACATGTAATTTGCCCTTTTCAAAACATAGGCTGTTATTTTTGGTGGGTTGATAGGAGCATATTATTATGTCAAAATACTATTGAATAACATGGTAAATCAAAGCTAGACTTGTGTTGAAAAGTCTAGAAAGGCCATGTCAAATGAGTTATTTCATCTTCCAAACACAGGCCTCCAGAACTAGTACCTCCTTCTTTCTAGAAGAAGGAAGGAAGGAACATAATGGATGCTTTCTAGAGTTTGGAGGATGGAGTTATTTTGGAAACTTTCATTTGATGGATTTTTAATTTTAAGTTTTTGGATCTAAATTCAGGCCTATTGGCAATCTTTGCCCAAAAAGATTCCAGGGGGTTCACGTTTGATAACTTTAGCCCAAAATCACTTGGAAAGTGCTCAAATGGTGAAGAACGGTGAAGAATGGTGAAGTAAGTTTAGGCTGGGGGGGGGGGTAAATTTCTATCTTGCTTTTTGGTATTATTTTCTTTCACGTGTGTCTTACAAACAAGTCTTAAGAATGCACACTGTATGAAAACAATTCCACAGATGTATTGCATTATTTGGCTCTGTTTTCTGTAGTGATTGTTTACAATAAAGCTAATTCAAAATTCACACCAAATTAGAACCAGTTACAACATTAGGTAGCCTAATATGTAACCGCCATATTGGTAGAATGTTACAATTAGAATTTTTTTCATCTTACTTCCTCAAAATTTCTTGCTCTCTGATGTTGATATGAATCTTGGCCATATGGGGAAAGTACCAAAATATGGCCATTTAGGTTGCCTGGAGAAATAATGGATTGTATAAATATAATATTGTGTGAAAGTAGGTTGATGGATAATTGAATAAATACATAAAATACCACAAAAAACAACTGTTTGTGCAATTGATAGTCTATGCGAGTCTTTGCTTCCAAGGTTTTCTGGTTTTGTTTGCCACTCGTTTTGAAGAGTTGGATAAATATTGAACGTTTTTTTCTCGGCAAATAAATGTTCAATATACAACGTTCTGTGTTGGTAGCCTGGTAGGTGTTATTACAAAGAGGATAATTAATTAATAGTCATTAGAGAATATGCGGAAAGGTGTTCACTAGCGAGAGGTGTTCACTAAGACAGTTTGTACTATTTTGTAACATTATGCATTCAATAAAAAACCATAGAGGCTTGATATCATTTAAAACAAGCAATTACTATACGATTTATAATTTCATTCCAGAAATTCACATGCGTTTTTGCTGATTAATTGTAACGAGATAACATTTTACACCATTTTAACTCTCCAGCAGAAAGCTCGCATATTCCTTTGTTATACAGGTGTTAAATATCTGATATGATAATATCTACATGTATTCAAAATAAAGGGTTATTCAGAAAACTACTTTATCTCATGAAGATGCTTTCAAGAATTCGATTCAATTTTCAATTAAGTAGAAAGTGATATCTGGGGAATATTCTCCACTTTTTTCACGCATTTGCAAAATATCATAAATATATGTACATGTTATCCTACAGATATGACCTCGATTATGGGATAAACATTGAATGAATTTTTACCAATTTAATTTCAAAAGCTTCCATATTTGATCAGATGCGTCAAAGCTTTTTTCGATTCATTTTGGGTACATAATATTGAAATAATGAAATATACATGTAGGATTCGAACAACCAACACTCTTATCAGCCTGCATTATTTTGAAATTCCTCTTATTCATTGTAAAATGATCGATGCTAATATTTATGATAATATGAATAATTTTAATGATCCTTTTATTTGTTAAATGTGGGAGGCATTTTCCATTGATTCCTAAACCGACTTTGCAAGTCAGGTGAACATGAAAAGTTTTCAGAGATTTGGAGGTAAGTTGATAATTTTCAAAAGCATATGTTCATATTCGTTCCCTGCTTAGCAGCTTTCTCTTTTTACATTGTTCCAATATTTAATACAATATTTCAGTGTTAATAACCATAGTTTTACCATGGTATGAGAATACATATGTACGTTTGTCATTCTTGGTTGTTTTTAAGGATTTTAAAGAAGCTTTAGTATCTACAATATTTTGATGTTATGAGTACTGGTTAATCAATTCATAATTGTTCTTCAACATATATTGTAATGTCCCTCGGTGTTATGGTTTTGGATTGTGAGGTAATTTTAAGAGGGTACTTCCTCAAAACATTTTACTATGTTTGTTTCTGTTTTAGGTGTATTTCTATCACTATGGGTTCTTGCAGTGATAGTTTTGGCGTTCGTGCCGAAAACCGGCTTTGTATAAAAAACCTCCTACCCACGTACCCTCGTACCCACGTACGTGGGTCCTGACCCAGTCTTTAAAGAGTTAAATTTTTAAATGTTTAAAACATTATTCAATCTCAGTTTATCCTGAATTATAGATGAATTTATGCATCCATATGCCTTTATTTATAGGTCTGACATCTCTCTAGTAAAATAAAATAAAGCCGGAATTGCATAAATGTTCATTATTTTTGAGCTATTTGATTTATGTTTTTGATATGTCGAAATGTTTTTTGTTGATCGTGCAGTCTTACCTGTATAACACATCAGTGCTGATTAGCAATCTCCTAGCCTTCGTTCAGTGCAATCCGTGCCTCCTGTTACCTCATGCAGATTGTAAATGTCCCGGGAAGTTTACCCTTGTCCAAAAGTTGACATCTTTTTAAAAATATATTTCTTAGAGTTTCCAACCTATTAAATTCACCACATTTTATTAGATGTTTATTTCAAATGTTATTAGAATTCATTCTTACGAATATTATACGTTATTAACGTATGTTAGTCAAAGATTTGGTGTCGTTGTTGTCCATTGTATTTACGTTTTACGCGCAAAAAGCTAGAAACTACAAAGCTGAACTTTTATCATTCAAACCAGTTTTACATCAAATCATTGTCAAAATAAAACTCTACTCTTCATATTACCTAATTATGGATCAAACGGCCATGAATAATGTCGAAGTTTACAAAACCAAACTTACACTCCCCTGCATAAGTTTGGCAACTCTAATTTTTAATTCCATCTAAATGATTCACTGAACTAGTGCGCACAATTATCCTTAAATTGTGCCAAAAAGCGATTAAAAACGAATATAGCGAATCCTTCTACTTTTCAAATATTTCGTTATTAGATTATTCATGTTATTTACCTAATTTTGTTGCATTCGTCTATTAGGCTTCCAGTGCGGTGCAAGTAACTTCGATTTGCATTCTCCTGACTGGAGTACAAATGTAAGAAATGAGAGGAAGTAAATGTTTCCAAACCCTTTTCTTGCAACTTTGCAACTTTTCAAGTGTGAACACAAGAAGGCAACAGTCGGACACGACGGACAGTGCTACTTGAACGGCAGATCTGCATGAGCTTTTACTGTTTAGGTAAATTATGTAGAACTTAAAGGTACGTATCACACTGCCCTGCCCCTGCCCCCAAACTGTAGGCTAGCCTTTATTTCTTCAAAGGGTGCTGCAAAGAGGTTACAAACTGTGGAGAACGTTTGTTTATTTCCATAGTTCTGAAGGTACAGTATACTAGATTTTAGCTACATATATTCCAAGTCTTCTTCCCTTGCATTACATAGATTCATCGAGCAGTTTGCAAGGTGGCAGAAAAGCCCCATGGATAACATTTGCAAATTCACTTCAGTCTGTAATTAATTTTAAGAAATACATGCTACAGTATGGCGGAGGACAGTGTTTTATAATGTGTTACCTTGTTTACTACGCCAGCATCATTAGTTGATGCCATGGTCACATTTGCCCCGATTTTCAGCACCGGCGCCCAGCCAATGAGTATTTTGTTCAAAAGTGAATTCAATTCTGAACGAAATACTCAATCGGCCGGGCGCCGTAGTGAAAATCGAAGCAAATGTGACCAAGGCATAAGCAACCCTATCCATTCATAATACAGGGTGACCCAAAAAAAATGCAACCCTCCATTTCTTCAATATATTTCTTAAATGACGGTAAATTACTCTGAGATTTGGCACACAAGGACTTCATTCAATGTGGGATCCTCTGGCAAAGTTTTAATAATCATAGTCTTATATTGATAGAGTTATGGTTGTTTCAAAATATGCTCCAGATGTCGTCAATTTCGCTAAAAACAAACTTGCAATGTTCAAGAAACTCGTTCATATCACGGATGCATTGTTTCCAATGGGTATGGCTCACATTTTTGCAGCCATTGCTTATTGGAGTTTTGCAATTGCGGTAGGGTTATTTTCATACACATTATCCTTTAAATAACCCCATATATAGAAGTCAGGGGCATTGAGATCAAGACCATGGGTTCTCTGTCCTAGGAGAGATAATCTTCTCATAGAATTGACTAGTGAGCCAGGCTATGCTATCATTAGAAGTGTGAGGAGTAGCTCCATCCTTCTAGAACCACTGTTCTTGTTTATTGATGCCTCTATGTCACTCTAGAAGTGCCTAGAACTTCCTGGGAACGCCAATATTGCGCTGTGTGTTAACAGTAGCAGTGTCGCAATTATCAACCTCAAACCAAAAGGGGCTGATGATTTCATGTTTGGAAATTGGCAGCCCAAGCTGTGCATGTAACCGAATGAAGGGGCCTTTGA